ATTTTTTTTTTTTTTTTTTGGGAGAATCAAATATGGATATATTTAAATCATTCTCTAAATAAAGCATGGGTGGGTCCGTTAGTAGGTGTAAGCGCACTTGCATTATTAAAAATATTATTCCTTCTATAGCGGCCTTTGATGTGAGTAAAACGTTGTCTCAACTTTATCGTCCATAGGGGTTCAATCATCATGTTTTGACAATTATTTTCAAATTGGCTACTTAATTATCATTTTATTCTCTCTCAACGTTGTTTGAAAAACGATTTAAATAAAAATTTGTGATCTTCTTAAATATTTTGATTTTTTTGGTGAGTTGATATTATTAGATAGATTAGGTAAAAAGCACAAGTTCAAGACATTCAACTATTAGATACGTTTGATGTATCAGGCTGAAGGAAAAATAAACTCTTCTATACGAGAGATCAAGTTAAAGACAAAATTGAAATAAATAAAGATAATTTGAACAAGGTTTGTAGCGGAAAGCTTACTAGGGTTTCGAGAATTTAAATGTGACACATATCTCTATTTTGTTGTCTACATAATAGTATATTTTCGTGTAATAATGTATTGAAGTAAGTTCACTCCCATTTGATATAATTCACATGTCTAAAATCATCAAAATAATTGAATATTTTCACTCTTAAACTATATGTTTAACAAGTACTATAAATCAGAGCAATGCTGATAAAATAATTGACTCTAAATGGGATTTCTTTTTGTTTGAGAAATTATACAAATTTTGCTTAGCCTTTGTCCCTTNCGATAAAAATTTCTTATTGGCAAGAAAATTTTACTTGCAGTCTGAGACAACAATAAGATTTTAAAGTAAGATTTTTCTTGTAGTGGATAAGGTTCTCCTGCTACATTAATTGAAAGTTTTTATCCTATACACATACCAAGTCAACCTAATTAGAATGAAGTATAATATCTGGGACAACTTTGTTGAAAGAAAAAACCCATAAAAATTAGTCCTCTCCAAATATATAAATCCCATTCCCTGGTGTGCAAAGCATAGTTGGTTGTGCTAAGGCCAGAAAACTGTCCATGGCTCTGAGAAAGGTCGAGAAATTAAGGGCAACAAAGAAGGAAATCAATAGGGGAGCGTGGACGGTGGAAGAGGATCGGAAACTGGCAGAAGCCGTCGAAATCCACGGCCCAAAGCAATGGAAGACCATCGCCGCCACCACAGGTCAAATGCTATATCCATCAACATCTGTATATATACATATATTAGCTTGAACAATTAAGTTTCTAATATGTAAATATTTATATGCAGATCTGAATCGGTGTGATAAGAGTTGCAGGCTTAGATGGATGAATTATCTTAGACCAAACATCAAGAGAGGAAGTATGTCTGATCAAGAAGAGGATTTGATCCTCAGACTTCACAAACTCCTAGGAAACAGGTGGCAAAATAGGATTTTAAAAACCAGACTTCGAATTTATTGAGTACTAGACTTGGTTTTTTTTTATGTTGGATTTCAGATGGTCGTTGATTGCTGGAAGATTGCCGGGTCGAACAGACAACGAAATCAAGAATTACTGGAAATCCCATTTGAGCAAGAAAATTGAGAAGTCAAACGAAGGAATTTCAAGAAAAGAAGAAAACTCCAAGAGTGGAGAAAAGCCAAACCCATCCAAATCCACTGTTACTGGTTCTTCTGAGGACTCAAAAATCAGCTTTGATTTGGATGACTTTTTTGATTTCTCCAACGAGAATCCCTCAACTTTAGAATGGGTAAGCAAATTTGTTGATTTGAATTCATAATCTCCAATAATAGATGTTTACAAGGGTTGACCAAAATATCAAGATGATTTTGGGGATTATTAGTGTGTAGATTATACTTTGAACTTCTCTTTCGTGTTTATTGATTACACTTGTATATTTCGTACCCAATCCCAAGTCCGAGTAAATGAGGATTTTGATAGACAGAAAGTCAGCATCAAACTTTGACACATATAAATATTCTTCAAAGTTGCACTCTCAATATACTTGAAATGCTATGTTAAAAAATAGACTTAGAATTTTGGGAGAGTACTATCCTCTAATCAATGAATCAGATGCATAACGATAGCATGTCCGATATGCCAAATTACATCATAACATGTTCAATCCATAATAACACTAATGATCCAACAACAAAATGGCCTTCGTCTCAAGAATTTAATTTGAAGTCGGATTTGTTTCATTAAGTCCTTCTAGTCATCTCTTGAAGGACAATACTTGTTTCATTGAAGATAGTACATGTTATAATTCGAAAAATTTCTTTAACTTCAATGGAAGCCTTGATGACTGATAAGTGTAAATATCACTCTTTTCTTGAATCGAGTCATGCAAAGAACGTGTTAATTGCAAGTTTTCTTTAATGATCATGTACTCCAAGGAAAAGCCTCCCTTGTAGAATCAAATTAGCATCAGAAGGACAGTCTTCTGTTGAAATATGAAAAAGCATATATCTGCAGGCTGTGTGAGTTTCCACATTGACTGTTAATGAACAAAAGATTTAAAAAGATATATATATAGTACTTATATTTTCCACTTCTCAACAAAGGCAGTTGTACAATATTGAATAAGGTAATTTCGTGTCAAGTAGTGCATGTCAAATATCAGAAATGATCTTCTATCCATGTAGGGTAGGATTATTAAAAATTATAGGTTTGACTCCACCTCGACGGTGGACATGTTTTATCCTATCCACAATGGATAGAAGATCATTTTTATATCAAACATTACACGATATTACATAGCACAAATCTTGACTAGACATGCATTCCATTTTTCGTTGAAATAAAAAATTACGTTGCATCACCCTTTTCGTCGATAAAAAAATCAGTTTCCATCCCATTTTACAGACAGGTACAATGAACCAAGTACTGTACAAGTTTATCCATTCACACATCACAAACAGACTTTTACATCACGTGGGTACAATGCATACAAACCATAAAAAAGTTTGTAATGACGGGTAATACTGTGTTACTCTTTAATAGGAGGCTTGTTCTTGAAAAAGTAAACAAGATACGAAATTTGAAGTCTCAATAATGAAAACACATAGAAGCTCTTAAACAAAAAGTAAAAATAGTAATGACTTAAAAGCAACAAGCACCTTGGTTTGAACTATAGCTGGGAGGAAATAGTGGCCAATAGCCAGTTGATCCGGCCATTTTTCCAAAAGGGCCTTTGACCAATTAAAAAAAAAAGAAAAAAAAAACAAACAATGTTTAAAATATTGAAAATCAAGAGAAATCCAAATTTACCCTTACTATTTAAAGAAGAAAGAGAAGATAGTAAGGATAGAGAAAAATTACTATAGCACTGATAAAAAGGGGAAAATAGATGACCCATATTTAATGTTTTTATGTTGATTTTTGGAAGAAAAAAAACATGATTTCGTATACATGTGTTGATTTTTGGAAAATTGCATGATTTTTGGGTAAAGAAAATAACTTGGGAGGAGGAAAATGGAGTAGAGATCGTCGAAAATGGAGTTTTTCAACGATCTCCACAAAGGAGATGCTTAGCCCAGCTGACTGAGCCGTTTAGATATGCCCAGACGATCCAAACTCGTCCAGACGACCCAGTCTGGGCCAGTCAACTGTGCCCAGACGACCCAGTCAACTAGGTCGCCTGGGTGCCCAGTTCACTGGGTCGCCTGGGCGCCAAGTTGACTGGGCTGTCTGGGCCAGTCAACTGTGCCCGGACGACCCAGTCATCTGGGTCGCCTGGGTGCCCAGTTGACTGGGGCCGCCTGGGCTCCCTGATGACTGGGCTGCCTGGCGCCAGACGGCCTAGTCGTCTGGGCCGACTGTTAGAGGCCCAGATTTTTTTTAAATTACTTATTTATTTATTTCCTTTAATTTTTTAAGTTAACTANCATAAAGAATTAAAAAAAGTATTTAAACATTAATTAAAAATAAATAATTAAATTAAGTGTTAGTAAAATAATTAAAATAAGCATGAAAAAATTAAAATAAATGATGAAAATAAGTGTTTGTAAAAAAATTAAACGAAATAATTAAATATTAAATGAGTAATATACATAAAGAATTTAAATAAATATTTAAACATTCATAAAATAATAAAAATAAGCAATTAAATTAGAAAATTAAAATATCAATCAAATTAATTATTTGCAAAGCATTTAAATAAATATCAATAAAGAATTTAAATAAATATTTAATCATTTTTTATTTTTTAATATTGAATTTAATTGTTTATAAATATTTCATGAATTATGTAAATTGTTTATTTAAGTAAAATAATTAATTTTTTTATTTCATTTTATTTAAAATATAAATAATGAAATAAATATAATAAACAATTGAATACTCAATAAACAATTCAAATAAATGAGAAATTAATATAAATAATTAAATGAAGTAAATAAATATGAAATAAACTATTAAAATAAGTAATTAAATATTAAACAAACAATATACATAACCAATTAAAGTAATTAATGAGATATTTAAATAAATATTAAATTAAATATTTAATAAGTAATTTATTAAATCAAATAATACTTTAATTGTTTATGTATATTATTTTTTTAATATATAATTATTCATTTTATACTTTATTTGTTTATTTAAATATTTCACTAATTGTGTTAATTATTTATGTATATTGTTTATTTAAACAAAAAATAAATAACTAATTGAAATAAATTAAATAAATATTAATAAAATAATTGAAATAATGAATTGAAATAATAAATAACTAATTGAAATAAATTCAATAAACAAGTAACTTAAATGTTAATTAAGCAATAAAAATAATTTATTAGCATAAATAACAAATAAATATAAATAATAAAAACTAGTTTAAATATGTAATTAAATATTAAATAAACAATTGAAATAAATAATTAGAATTTAAACATTAGTTAAATACTTTAAATGAACAATAAATATAAAAAGAAGTAATTTAAATAAGTAATTAAATATTAAATAAAAAATTTAAATAAACAATTGAAATAAATAATTAACATTTAAGTATTAAATAAAAAATAAATAACATTTAAGTATTAAATAAATAATTTAAATGAACCATAAATATAAATAATAAAAATAAGCAATTAAATATTAAATTAACAATTGAAATAAATAATTAACATTCAAAATAAACAATTAAACATTCAATTAACAATTAAAATAAATATTAAATAAACAACCAAACAATTAAAATAAATAATTTAAATACACATTTAAATATTGAATAAATAATTTAAATGAACAATTTAAATAAATAATTAACAATTAAATATTCAATAAACAATTTAAATAAATAGTTAACAATTAAATATTTAATACACAATTTAAATAAGTAAATAAACTATTTAATTTTCAAATATTATGCTCTATCTATTGTCTCTTATACAAAGTCCAAATATTTTAAATTTTACAAGATGAATTATCATTTGGGCGTCGCTATGAGACAAATTCCTGACAAAGTTACATCGAACTATAATTTTATCAACTTCGCATTAGTTCTAGATTTGTTGGATGAGGAGCGCGAAGACCTGTTACACTGATCCTGCTTATGACGATAACTTTGGCACGGTTAGAAAATGCATTCAATGAATGCGACGATATGTTTGACAAGTTGAAATTGGGGATATTTATACTAGAGAGCATACTGAGGTGTCATCACAATAATACGTCGATCAACGTCTTTCATTTGGAAGTTGTTGATGAAATTGACACATTCAACAACTATCCATGGGGACAAAGTTGACAGTTATCAGCTCTCCTCAACGATGCTGAGGTACGTATTATTTATTTGTGATTTATGTTGTACATTATTTCGAAATTTCGATGCATGATCATTAACTCGATGAACATTTAAATAATAATTAAATGATTATTTGAATGATAAATAATTAAATGATTATTTAAATGATAATAAATAATTAATTGAAATAAATTCAATAAACAAGTAAATTAAATGTTAATTAAACAATAAAAATAATTAATTGACATAAATAACAAAGAAATATAATATTTTAAATTTTACAAGATGGATTGTCATTTGAACACCGCCATGAGACAGATTGCTAACAAAGTTGCGTCTAACTATAACTTTGCCAGCTTCGCATTAGTCTTATATTTGTTGGATGAGGAGTACGTAGACCTGTTACATCGATCCTACCTACGACGGTAACTCTGGCACAGTTAGGAGATGTATTCAAGAAATACGACGATATGTTTGACAAGTTGAAGTTGGGGATGGTGTTTATACTGGAAAGCATACCGAGGTATCATCACAAGAAAACGTTGATCGGCGTCTTTCATTTGGAGGTTGTCGATGACATTGACACATTCAACAACTATCCATAGGACAAAGCTGACAGTTATCAACTCTCCTCAACGATCCTGATGTACATATTATTCATGTGTGATTTAAGTTGTACGTCATTAACTCGGTGAAATGTTAATATGTCAGATTGAATTGCTCACTGAACTGATACCGTTGATCAAAGAGGAGGGTCAGAGTAATATCTGAGGAGATACGGTCTGCAGGTGATAAGGGTCCCAGACAGTGACAGAGAATAGTGGAGATGGCGACAGGGAGGGTGGTGGTGGAGGGGTGGGGATATACACAGATGTTTCATCAAAATCGTTATGAATGTCAGTGGAGATGGAAGAGGTGCCGCTGGTGGGGACGAAATAATTGTAAATATTTTTTTATTTATGAAATAATTGTATATATATTGTAAAATTTATTTAAATAAGGTAATGAAATATTAGATACATACTACACACAACCAATTAAGATAATTTATAAATGAAATATCTAAATAAGAAATTAAATTAAATATTAAATTTTTATTTAATTAAGTGATTAAATAAATAATTAAACAACGTAATTAAATATTAAATAAATATCCTATTTGATCCAATCCAATAATCCAACGGATATTTGAAT